CGCCCCCCGCCCGTGCCCGCGCCCTCCTGCGCCGCAAGCGTCACCTGGACGGGGACACCGGGACCCCGGGTGACAGCGAGACCCCAGGTGACACCAAGAGCCACAGGGACAGCGAGACCGTGGGGGACACGGAGACCCTCAGGGACACCGGGACCCCGTGTGACACCGAGATCACGGGTGACACCGAGACCAGGGGTGACACCGAGAGCCACGGGGACACCAAGACCCATGGGGACACCGAGAGCTACAGGGACACCAAGACCACAGGTGACACGGGAACCCTGGGTGACACCGAGACCCATGGGGACACCGAGAGGGTGGGTGACACGGGGACCCTTGGGGACACCAAGACCGCGTGTGACACAGAGGCTGCGGGTGACACCGAGACCATGGGTGACACGGTGACGAGCAGGGACACGGTGACCGCGTGACGCAGGACACGGAGCACGCCGGGGACACGTCTGCAGGTGACACGGGGACACAGGGACGCCGACGGGGACACAGGGACCCCCCCACGGGTGACATCGTGCCCACCCATGGGTGACAGCGACATCACTGTCCCGGTGACGGGGGCCACGGCCACCAGCGCGGGTGATGCTCGTGTCCCCCCCCCAATAAAGGCGCGGTGGCAGCTGGTGGCTCCGTGTCACCCTCTGTCCCCTGGCCGCCATCTTGGTGCCGCCGTCGTGCCACACCCCTGCGGTGTCACCCGGCCGCCATCTTGGTGCCACTTTGATGTCACCTGGTGGCCATCTTGGCACCGCTCTGATGTCACCTGGCAGCCATCTTGGTGCCACACCCACTTGGTGTCACCCGGCTGCCATCTTGGTGCTGCTCTGATGTCACTGGCGGCCATCTTGGCACCCTTGCTATCACCCATCTTGGCACCATGTGACACCACCCAGTGGCCACCTTGGCCCCACCCCCCAAAGCGACGTGACGCAACCCAACCCAACCCCACCCGCTCTAGGGCAGCACCCAGTAGACGCCAGGCCCCTATAGGCCCTCTATAGGGTCCGTGGGCACTATGGGGCTGGGTTCTATGGGTCAGGGAGCCGTGGGGCAGCACCCAAACCCCACCAAGACCCCCAGCCACCTCTAGAAGCCAGCACCAACCCAACCCCTCCCGCTCTAGGGCAGCCACCAGACGCCAGGCCCACCAGGCCCCTATAGCCCCTCTATAGGGTCAGCAGACGCTATGGGGCTGGATTCTATGGGTCAGGGAGCCGTGGGGCAGCACCCAAACCACCTCCAGAAGCCAACGCCAACCCAATGCAACCCAACGCAACCCAACCCAACCCCACCCGCTCTAGGGCAGCACCCAGTAGACGCCAGGCCCCTATAGGCCCTCTATAGGGTCCGTGGGCACTATGGGGCTGGGTTCTATGGGTCAGGGAGCCGTGGGGCAGCACCCAAACCCCACCAAGACCCCCAGCCACCTCTAGAAGCCAGCACCAACCCAACCCCTCCCGCTCTAGGGCAGCCACCAGACGCCAGGCCCACCAGGCCCCTATAGCCCCTCTATAGGGTCAGCAGACGCTATGGGGCTGGATTCTATGGGTCAGGGAGCCGTGGGGCAGCACCCAAACCACCTCCAGAAGCCAACGCCAACCCAATGCAACCCAACGCAACCCAACCCAACCCCACCCGCTCTAGGGCAGCACCCAGTAGACGCCAGGCCCCTATAGGCCCTCTATAGGGTCCGTGGGCACTATGGGGCTGGGTTCTATGGGTCAGGGAGCCGTGGGGCAGCACCCAAACCCCACCAAGACCCCCAGCCACCTCTAGAAGCCAGCACCAACCCAACCCCTCCCGCTCTAGGGCAGCCACCAGACGCCAGGCCCACCAGGCCCCTATAGCCCCTCTATAGGGTCAGCAGACGCTATGGGGCTGGATTCTATGGGTCAGGGAGCCGTGGGGCAGCACCCAAACCACCTCCAGAAGCCAACGCCAACCCAATGCAACCCAACGCAACCCAACCCAACCCCACCCGCTCTAGGGCAGCACCCAGTAGACGCCAGGCCCCTATAGGCCCTCTATAGGGTCCGTGGGCACTATGGGGCTGGGTTCTATGGGTCAGGGAGCCGTGGGGCAGCACCCAAACCCCACCAAGACCCCCAGCCACCTCTAGAAGCCAGCACCAACCCAACCCCTCCCGCTCTAGGGCAGCCACCAGACGCCAGGCCCACCAGGCCCCTATAGCCCCTCTATAGGGTCAGCAGACGCTATGGGGCTGGATTCTATGGGTCAGGGAGCCGTGGGGCAGCACCCAAACCACCTCCAGAAGCCAACGCCAACCCAATGCAACCCAACGCAACCCAACCCAACCCCACCCGCTCTAGGGCAGCACCCAGTAGACGCCAGGCCCCTATAGGCCCTCTATAGGGTCCGTGGGCACTATGGGGCTGGGTTCTATGGGTCAGGGAGCCGTGGGGCAGCACCCAAACCACCTCCAGAAGCCAACCCAACCCAACGCCAACCCAACCCAACCCAGGGCAGCCCCCATAGACGCCAGGCCCTCCTGGCCCCTATAGCCCCTCTATAGGGCCCGCGGGCGCTATGGGGCGGCCCCCCACCTTGTTGCGAGGGCAGGCGAGGGGTTCGGAGAAGCCGACGAAGGGCAAGGCCAGGTTGAGGAAGGCGTTCTTGTAGGAGGCCAGGCGCCGGTGGCCCTGGACCAGCTTGTAGAGCTCCAGGCAGGCCAGGCCCACCACCGCCCCCGTGGTGGTGGCGATGGCCGGGATGATCTTCCCCGCGATCAGCTTGCTCTGCCCCGTATAGAAAAGGTGCCTATAGGGGAGCGGGCGGGGGGCACCGCCCACCCCCCCGCCCCGCCCCCCAAGGGGGCTATAGGCCCTGGGGGGGGGGGTTTGCAGCTCTCTGGGGGGCCTATAGGTGCTGATGTTGTCTATGGGCCTGTATGTCCCTACGGTCCCCTATAGACCCTACAGCCCCCCCTCTAGACCCTACAGCTGCCTATGGGACCTACAAATCCCCTATGGGCCCTACAGACCCCTATGGGCCCTACAGCCCTCTATAGACTCTGTAGCCCCCTATGGGCTCTACCGTCTCCTATAGGCCCTACAGCTCCCCCTATAGACCCTCCAGTCCCCTATGGGACCTACAGCTCCCCCTCTAGACCCTACAGCCCCCTATGGGCCCTACAGCCCCTATATATCCTCTATAAACTGTGTGTTTATGCTACAGACCCTATACAGACCCTCTATAGACCCTATATCCCTCCAGAGCTTATATACGTTATAAAGCCTATGAAGCTTACGTGCAGCCTATAAATCCTATACGTCCCCAGAGCCAATCGGTATTACAGACTCTGAATCCTATACGCGCTCTATAGGTTCCATAAGCGCTTTATATATCTTCTACGTACTTTATACACCCCATACATACGCTATAAACCCTACGCATTCTATACGTACTCCGCAGACCCTATATATGCTGCACAGACTCTCTATGTACCCTATAGGTGCTCTAAGTATAGACCCTATACGTCCCCATAGGCTCACTCTGCTCCCCGCAGACCCTATATAAGCCCTGAACGCCTACAGCCCCTGTGCGTAACGTAAAGCCTGCAGAGCCCCTGCGCGCCCTAAGGACCCTATAGGGGCCCTATAGATCCGCACCTGCCCTCCGGACCCTATACAGACCCTGCGCCCTACAGAGCGTGCACCCTACGTGCGCTCCACGGACCCTATAGCACCCGTAGCCCCCCCCAGCACCCACAGCGCTCCATAAGAACCCCAATAACGCCCCATAGCACCCATGGGTGCCCCCCAGCACCCATAACGCCCCATAAGAGCCCCTATAACACCCCCTAGCACCCATAGGACCCCCCCATAGCACCCATGGGTGCCCCCCCCCCCAGCCCCCACCTTTGGGGGGGGG